CCAGTATTTGTCCCATGTCTGAGTCTTTCAAAAGACAGGTGTATTTGAAGGAGTGTTTTGTTTTTTTTTTAATGTGTTCCCTTACGGCTGTTAGTACTATGGCAATCAGTTGGGGGTGGGGAGCTGACTTCACTGCACAGTTCGGGTTTGGTGGTTTTTTGTTGTTTGTTTGTTTTGTTTTTGTTTTTTTTTGTTTGTTTGTTTTTGAGAATTTGTATAAGAGTTTATTTGAGCCAAACTGACAACATATGCCAGGGGAAGAAGATCTCAGATGCTCTGGAAAATAACAGTTTTGCAGCTTCTTTTCTGCATCTCAAATTTTAGGAGGGGACGTGCGGAAGATTACACAGAGGCGGGAGGAGGCCAGGCAGGAAAGGGATTTGCGGAGATTTAAGTGTTCTCTGGGAGCTTAACACCCACTTCAAGGGATAGATCGCTCCTGGCCTGTGGAAGGTGTGTTCACCTAGGTGCACCAGAACAGTGGGCAGAACTGGCTTGAACCCTTTCTCTAAAGAAGTTACAGGCCTGGGGTGTGACACGCCCCATGACCTGCCCAGGTCACCCGGGAGGTTACTTCCTGTAGAACCCTTTTTGTTCTTTCTGTCCCCCGTTCCCCCGTTTGATCATAAATGGGTCTGAAGGGCGCACGGATGGACAACCTTTTGGTCCGAGAGTGTGGCCTCGCAGCGGCGGGAAGGCTCATTCCTAGGAAGCCTCCGTCCTCACGGCATCTTACTGACCACTGGCGTTGGATGGGGTGATACTGTAGCCCTAGGATCAGAACTGAGGCTCAGTTCTTCCGAAATGGGAAGGGCAGGCCGGTGGGATGCAGCCAGGGCTTACGGCTTTCATGGGGGCTGTGGGGGCATGACTCTGGGTCATTTCTGTCCTATGAACTGTTGGGACCCGAGTTTTGCCTTCTGGCTCAAATTTCTGTACGTGGTGGTACTAGAAGAACGAGCAGGGTCCAGCTGCCTGCCACCACCCTCTGGGCAAAACTCCAGAGGCCAACATTTGGTGATAAAGGAAAGGGGTCTTTGTGTTAAAGCTTCACAGTTTTGGAATAACAGCTTTTTCCACATGACCTGGTCACTGAGGCCTATCAATTAAGGCTAAATTTTTTAATTCTTTAGGTACAGCTTTAATCACTTAAGCCTATCAGTTAAGGCTAAACTCTTTAATACCTGAGTTCTCTATCATTCCCCTTGTTAGATTTAATTATCTGATTGCTAAAGTGTTAGTTTACAAACTAAAACAACATAAGGTACAAAAGCTACACAATTTTGGAAGAGTGGCAGGCTCCTGCCTCAGAGGTTGTCCCCTCTAGAACACCCAGAGAAGGACAGCCCTGCCCCCCTCTGCCAGGCCAGCCCGATCCTAGGCTGAGCCCGGAGCTCCTTCCCATTCAAAATACATCCCTTGGGAAACGCAGGCAGCTGCAGCGTGATCCTCTAGGCATCCTGGAGAAAAAAGAGCCCGAGAGCCCTTCTTTTATTCCAAAGCTCCTCACCCATAATTCCATGAGCTCTGGGGGCATCTGCTCCTCAGCCTTGGACACCCTCCTACGGCCCCTCCGTGCTTCTCCCCAGTGATCTGATCGGGTCTCTCTGCATCAGTATTACATTTACATAAGCCACAAAAAGAATATTAACAGTTACACATGTTCAGCAACCATAAATAGTTGGACTATATAGAAAAACCCAAAGGACAAGTATAACTATTACTATGGCTGATCATTAGCAGGCAGGTAAAGACTATCAAACAGAATGGATTTGGAGTTCAGTATCTCAGTACCATAGGTGTATTGTTGACGTCTTGGGGTAGCTGCCTACCTCTGCTGTCAGCGGCTTCTCAGCCTAGAGTTGGTATGTCCATAGACAGGTGTAGATGTCCGTATGCAATTAGGTCCCTTCCAATGAGGTTGGAGAGTGTCTTTTGTTTGATGTCCTTTCCAATGAACAGAATGTCCAGGTAAGTAGTCAGATGATCTTTAAAGCCTTTTGTCTCCTGGGAGCTCAGTTTATAAAGCAACAATTGGGTGCAGGTTTTGCCCTGCAGGCATTTACAGTTTACATCTGCGCCTGTCAAGTCAAGGTTCAAGTGACCTTCCCCTTTTAAAATAAGGACAGCCATTTTCAATACCTCAAAGAATTGGGTCGTTACCTGAAGGACATCATTGGTTGATTAATTGATCTAAATCCTCTCTTGAAGTTTCAAGAGACGAGTTAAATAGGTTTTTTCAATCATTCTGCGTAATTTTAAAGCTGGCTCTTTCTAATTGCGCATGCAAGAGATTAATTTAGAAGTATCAGAGGATCCTTATTTTTGGCCATCTTAGCTATACATGGGAGGCTGACAGGGTGGTCCTTGTTGGCCCCACAGGCAGGGTTTTTCGTGTGAATTTTGGGATCTGCAGTCTGAGCAAACTTCCAGGGAGAAGCAGCCTTTCCGTGCATGGTCTCCAGATGAGCGATGCTGTTGCTGTCCCTAGGGAAAGTTTTTCCTCGGGCAACCCCGCGAAGGTTCTTAGTCACCTAGGAATGCGGAGCGAGGGCCCGCGAGAGCCAGGCCCTTCCCCAGGCCCCGGCCCCGCCCCCTTTCAGGGGGAACCCGCTCCAGGGCGCCCTCTGCCGAGCTCTTCTCGCTAGTGAGTCATTTCACTGGAGAGAGGTGTGCTCAGCTGCAGCAGCCTCTGGTGCTTTAGGCGAGCGAGCGTGGCTGTAAAAGAGAGTTAACGCCAGCCTTCCTGCCCTAGGACCCTTGTCCTGCCTTTGGCTCGCCTCCCACTCTTGGGGAAGATCCCCATTCTAAGCAATGGAATGGATCCAGAGAGACTGCTGTTTGGGGCAACTAATTTGGGCAAATTTGTTAGAGTTAATATTTACAAACCAGGTTTTACTGTCATTCATTTTTACTCCTTTCTGCTTACTCTTTTGTGACATTCCTGTCTCCCTCCTCCTCAGACGTGCATGCACGCTGTCCCGCGTGAGGACACTGTGTCGCTGCAGGTCTGTCTTCTGTCGGTTTCCCTGTCTTCCGTAAGAGAAGTGAGCTCTTGCTCCCCTCTTACTGGGAACACTGAGAGACACGTTGATACAAGCATTCCTTCCCATGGCAATGAGAGATTGGCAGTAGGAAATCTGGATAAGCTGTAGTCTCAGCTAAAATATGAGAATCAGGCTGCTTGGGAAGAGTTTGGGGACTAAGAGCTCTTGAAGTGAGACTAAAAGCACCTTTAGCTCTGGGAGTGGGAGGGAGCAAAGCCCGTGGATTGACTAGTCCTAACTTCAGGCCACACTGGGAAAGGGCAGCAGTGTCTCAGTCTCTGTATGCATTTCATTTTTTCTCTAAATACAATATTGAATCGGAATCTCGGGGCTGAAATTCACACACACACACACACACACACACGGTTCTTATGTGCAGCCAGGTTAGAGAGCCATGGAGGATCACGCTACAATCAAACCGTCTTCGCTGGTGGGCAGATGAATGCGTGGAGCAGGGATCCCCTCTTTCAAATTATCCGAATCCTTCTATTAGCAACTAAGTAATCTTTATTTTTTAAAAATGTTATCAATGCAGTGGGAGACCAATACACTATAACCAAGTGGTGCAAATGCAGAATGAAAAGTTGCTTCAGTACTGGGAAACTTATTAATATGTTCCATTGTAGCTTTAAACAAGCATTGCATACTCTCGTTGGTAATCCAGAAATGAAACGCGTAGATAACATATTCTTTCTATACACATAGCTTAAAACAACGTATTTACGATGACCTAACATTGTATGCTTCTGTGTGTGTGTGTGTGTGTGTGTCTCCAGCCCTCACTGTTTGCTCTGGTCAGTGACTTTTAGGGAATTGGAAAGTAGGTCTGCAAAGTGTATTTTAGAGGGGCCACCAGCAATCAGGTCGGAAAGATTACTTGCCAGTGATGTTGGAATAATCTGTTTGCTGCAGTATCTGGGTTCCTGTCTTTCTTGATAATAAATTTAGTAGTTGAGGAAAATAGCTGTTGTGCCAGGGGAATCCTCAAATTAGCTTGAATTATCAAAAATAACTTGCCCCCATTGAATGCTCCCTACCATTTCCCTTTTCTCTCTCTCTCAAAAATTCATGAGACGGCCCTGGCCAGGTGGCCCTGTTGGTTGGAATGTCCGTCCCCTACGCCAAAACATTGTGTATTTTATCCTCGGTCAGGACGTGTACGGGAAGCACCTGATCGATGTCTCTCTCACACATCAATGTTTCTCTCTCTTCCTCTCTCTCTAAAATTGATAAACACATCCTGGCGTGACGATTTAAAAAAAAGAATAAAGATTTATGAGACATATTCTAACACATACACACCCTCCTACCGCTTTAGTGCTTTTCTGTCCTTGCAGTTGCAAATAGAGCAAAAGAGGTAAATAATATGAGTAAAATGAGAACACATTGCTCCAGTCCTTGGCTCGTGCTGGCAGCCTTTTCCGGGCTATCAAGAGATAACATAGCATTTCCTTCCCTATTATTAACTTCTCACTTCCTCAACATCTACTTATCCAGGTCCTGAATTTCTCAGGTCTTTGATTTTGGACTGCCTCCTGCCTGCTGTTTGGCTGGCTCGCTGCTAATCAATACCTGTCTCACAGAGTAGGCAGGAGAAATTAAAGACCCTGGAATTCAACTGGTCCGTTGCGTTTGCTCTTTGATAGCATCTCTGACAGAAAGTTCAATGGGGCTGATTGAAATCTTGGCCTTAACTGGAGTTGGGGGCTGATCTTTGGGGTTCGTTGTTTATGTTTCTGTTTCCTCTCATTGACCTTGGCTTGCTTGTCTTTGGGAAAATAAATACAGTGGAGGAGAGCCGCAGGTTGATAGTTAAGAAACGTAGTTGCGTCTTCACAGTGCACAGGGCTCGTCCTTCTCTGCCCCTTGTCGCCGGCGGGTGTGGTGTCCTGGCAGAGCGCACGCTCCCCTGATCCCTTACAGTTCTGTGCTCTGTGGTCGCCCGCCCCCAAGGTCATGAAACGAGTGCGCACCGAGCAGATTCAGATGGCAGTGTCCTGCTACCTCAAACGCCGGCAATACGTGGACTCGGACGGTCCCCTGAAGCAAGGACTGCGGCTGTCACAGACTGCTGAGGAGATGGCAGCCAACCTGACAGGTAAGCGGGGGGCCGTTCCCGGGCCGGCCCGAGCAGGGACCTGCTGCCCAGCCCCAGGGGCTGTTGCTCTGTGCTGGGGTGCGCGCCCGGAGGGCGGGCTGCCCCGAACCTTGGGGGGAGCGCTGGCCCCCCAGGCGCTATCTGTCCCTCAAGGCTGTGCTCAAATGCCTCTTCTCCAAACCTCCGTCGCAGTATATCCCTCCTCAGAAGGTGGAATAATTGTATCCGTGCCTGATGTATTGTGCAACATGTTCCTCCTGTAAACTCTTAACCTACAAGCCGGACAGGGCCGGGGTCTCTGTCCCCCTCCTGTGTGGGGCCCAGAGCCTCGCCTGCAGAAGTCAGGTGGCCTGGCGAATGACTGGCGACCTTGGGATCAGCGCTTGGACGTACTGGCAACATTGATACGTTCCTGAGATTTTTTTTTTTTTTTTTTTAATTTGGGGATTTGGTTCTTTGTCTGGAAATTGGATTTTTTTTTTTGAAAAGTTTTTCTTGACTTCATCTGGAGCAGTGATTTCCAACTCCTTTTCATCCCATGGCACACATGAACTAATTACTAAAATTCTGCAGAACATCAAAAAATATATATTTTGCCAACCTGACCAAAAAAAAAAAAAGGTATACTTTTTATTCAGTCACACCAGATGGCTATTGCTGTGTTGGCTATTGTCATTTTTTATTTGACAATCTAAGGGAAAAGAGGTCAGCAGCCCTGACTAAATAGGTAGTGCATGGTTTCAAAATTCTTGCGGTGCACCGGTCGAAACTCGCTGCTCTGGAGTAACAAATAATTGTCACTGAGCTATTTCGTGAGTTCAGCTTTTTTACATGGATATAATTTTCCTATATGAATTTGTGCACTGGAGATTTTGGGGAAAAAAATTCACTGCAATGCTTTTGGGGTGGCTGTGACCTCCTTCAGCGGGAATGTGCGGAGCTGAGTTAGCCGTGCGTTCTCCAGCTCAGCGCTGGTTCCTCTCATCTGCTCACTGTTCCCGCCTCTCTCTGTTCCCGTGCTTCACTTTGCCTTTCTAAGTACCTCTCGCCGCCTCTTAGTGGTTTTGGCCTCCGAGCTGGTAGCAGCTGACACGGCAGCTGCCTCTCGTTACCTTCGGAGTCCTGCGCCCAGACCCTTTGTGCTCCGTGGGGTGTGGCCACGGCTCCAGAGAGGCGCAGGATCAGTGCACACCCGAGGGAGTCCTCAGGAGGGTGGCTCCTGACCCCCGGAGGCAGTGGGAGGAGCGCAGTCAGGCATCTGCGCTGTGCCCCTCCACACTGAAGCCACCTCGTTCCTCCTTTTCTTCAGGCTCCGTTGGGTCCTGTCCTGCTCGCCACGAACAGGGCCAGGCAATGGGCCTGGGATAAGTTCATCAGTGCCTCATGGTTTCCAGTGGGGCAGCCAGTTCACAGGGCCAGAGGGATTCCTTCTAAACCTGCCATCATGGCTTTGATGCGCACGAAGGATCTCCTGCTGCCCTGCGCTCATTAGAACCTGGGGACAGTGACTCTGCTGGTGCAGATGGGAAACCGGAGCCAGCGCTGCTGAGCAGGCGTCCAGAACTTCCGTCTTCCAAGTTGCCTCAGTTCCTTCGAGTGGCTTATTCAGAGAGTCATTGTTGCTCCTGAAAAACCACCAGGAAATGTATCGTAATTTCTTGTCCTAGGTCTTTCTGTTAATCAGTAATCTGAATAATTATGCATTCAGCAGATAATTATTGAACATCTGCTGTAGGCCATACTGAAAAGTTCTAGAGAGAGCGAAGATGTGATCCCAGCTCCTGAATAGCTTAACGCGGCAGTAGGAAATGAGGCAGATAAATCAGCCATCCTAGGAGGGTGTGGGGGAGGAAGTTCAGCGCAGGGCGACGCCTCAGGTTCTCTAGGAACAAAGGAGGTGGGGATCTAAATTAGCCTGGCAGGTCCAGGAGGGTTTCCCAAAAGGTCTCCTGTTCCTCGCACACAGTCAAGTCAGTAAAGAGTCAAAGGAATGACTAGTTGTTGACCAGGGGGGCCAGTTGGAGGAGGGTGTCCTGTGCGAATGGCAGAGGGGTCTCAGGACCCTGCTGAATGGGGACACCAGGTAAGAAGCAGGGGAGCCTGAAATGCGAGCAGCCTGCACGAAGGACAAGATGTGCTCACAGCAGTGGAGGGGAGACGTTGGTTCGGAGTGGAGGCCTGGGTGAGGGATCCACGTGGGTGGGGCAGCGCAGGGGAGCGGGAGGGGTCCCCTTCCGCGCACAGCCTTCCAGCACAGTCTCCTGTGTCCGGCTGTCTCTCTGGCGCCCCTCCCCCTCCCCCGTAGGCCGTGACTTCCTCAGTCCTGCCGCGCTAATTACCATTCCTGCTTCCGAGTCCTGTCTTCCAAAATGTATTCGTGTCTCATCCAGATTATTGAAGATGGCTTCTCTCAGTCCCAGCACTCCTCTCCCCTGCAAAGAGGGTGAGGCGGTCAGGTGTTTCCCTTCTGAAAGCATAAACTCACAGGACGGACACTAAGTGCCTGTGTATGTACTCAGTACTGAGAACCCAGTCCTGCCCCCCGACCCCTCCTCCCAGAACACTAGCAGCTGGGTGTGCACCTCCTGGGGGACATTTATAAGAGTCTTCCCTGGAGAGTGTGGCCTGCCCAAAAGAAAAACCTGAAGACACTGGCTTTGGGAAACTGCTCATCTGGGCCATCCTGGGTGATGAGCACCCACGTGGGGTCCTGTCAGCTCTGCGGTGCCTTTGAGCTCCATGCCGATGGCTAGGCACGATCGGGCCCGGAAGGAGCTAACCTACTTAGTGTGAAAAGCAGAGATGGAAAGAAACGGTGAAAAGCAACTTGCAGGAAGCAAGTAGCAAATAGACGAATACTTCAAAAATACCATCGCTGGTAGCCTTGACATGAGGAGGGAATGTTATTTTAAAAAACAAAGAACATTCATAGAACAAAAAAAATTATAAATGTAAATCATAATAGTAAAACTGAAAAGTCAGAATTGTTGAAAGTTGAGGAAGCCTCCCAGAAAGCAGAGCAGAAAAACGGAATTTGGGAGAGAAGATTAAAGGGTCAGTTCAGGAAATTTAACCTGGAGCAGCAGTAGGAGCACCAGAAAGAGAATGCAGGAGAGAATCAACGAAATGATTCAAGAAGAATTTTCAGAACAGGAGGACGTGATTTCCAGACTGAGAGGGGCCCGTAAGTGCCCAGCACAATGGTTGAAAACAGACCTGTGCCAAGGCACGCTCCTGTCAGATGTCGGAACGGGGGCTCAGATGCTTCTGGATAAGTCTCTCATGAATTTATGGGCCTGCCCTCTTTCATTCAACTAATTTATTCCATGAGTTTATACCTTTTCCTCCTCCTGCTATCATTTTATCAGGGGGAGAGGAGATAGATGTGTATCATGGTATGGCATATTGAACGAGAAGCCCAACATACTTTGAAAATCTGCTGGCATGTCAGTTGCTATACTAATGTAGACTCGACACCCTCGCGCATCCAGCCTGCCATATATTGGGTTAATAATTCTCTTTCCCACCCCCACCTGTGTGTCTTTCCCTCCTTAGTCCAAACAGAATCTGGTTGTACCAACATCGTGTCTGCAGCCCCATGTCAGACAGAGCCCCAGCAATATGAAGTACAGTTTGGACGACTGCGGAATTTTCTCACCGGTAAGTACCCAGCACTTGGAACCTTTTCTTATTAAGAAGGAGTAACGCAAATTTCCCTCAGAACCTGTTCTAGTCCAGGTATGTGTTTAGGTACTAGAGATTCAAAGGTAGTTTAACTCAGTTCTTGCCAGAAACTTATGGTCCGTGGGAATTTGGGGTGGGGTTCAATCACAAGGTTGAAATTTGCAAGGACTAGAGCTCTGGGCATTTTATTCGCTGTCTTATCCATGGCCTTCACAGTGGCTGTGGCTTGTGTTGAGTCAGTGAAAGCTTAAACAGCCACGTAGAGAAGCATGTTTAAGTGCAGCATATTCGAAACGGACACTGATGTCACGAATAATGATGTAGGATATGTCACAATGGCCTTTCCCCTTATTTCCAAAAGTGCAAGACAATAGTCTTCATGAATTGGCGGGACAAAGAAATTCGAAGATGTAATTCAGATCAATTTGTTGGTGTAATGACCACTGGAACACAGAATGAGGAGATAGGAGTTCTAATCAGTGCTTCCGATCACTGTGTGACTTTTTAAGTTAATCGCTTTTTTCTAAAAACTGGAGTCGCTCGACCTCTCTGGGGCCTTTGCTTCCTCGTATGTGAAATGAAGAAGGAACTTCAAAGGGGAAACCAACTGATTCCATCCAGTCCTAAAATGACTGATTATAATTTTAATCCTGGAAAGATGATTGCAGTAAGAGAGACCATGTTGATTCTAGTTATTAATCAGAGTCTATTGTTGAGCACTTTCTTTATATAGAGCAACTGGAGGTGAAAGAAATACAAAATACTCTCTGCCCTCAAAGGATTAAGAATAATTAGCATGTGTCGGTTAGTGGGAAATTATAGTTAAAATACTTTGAGTTTTCTTTTTCTTTTCTTACTTGAGTAATCCTTATATTAATAACTTTTAATGGTAAAGATGTATATAAGGTGTCAATATGTAAACCAAAATAGTGTACCTAGTTTTACACATGTTTAGAGTTGTCCTAATTTTACGTGACCCTCATGAAGGTTAGGATTTTAAAGGCAAGAACCTGCATTTCTCTGTTTGGGGGAAATCACCAAAACGTTACAGGAAATAAATTGCAAAATAGAACCCTAGAGAGGGTTATCTCACCAATCTCACAGTTGTTAAGTGATGGGATTAATAAGTACAGGCTAGACTGTTAAATAGTTACAAAAATGAAAACAAAATCATAGAGATTAAAGGCTTAATAAAAAAGAGTCGATTATGTTGAACCGGAAAGAAGGAAATCCCATCCAGATCCTCATATTGTATGAGTGTTAAATGTCTCAGAACAGTGGTCAGCTGCTTTCCATCCCCACTAAGGGTAAAAAAAGAAAAATCGAATTTGTAAGAAAGATTTCATTCAGAGGTAAGCAAGAACTGGAAAATAACGAGTTATCTTTAATCATTGACGTCGGTTTTTAAAGCTTTAAGCAGTTCTTAAATTTTTAAAGCCGTTTTTAGAGCGCTAATTTACTTAGTTTTTAAAAAATGATTGTTGTGTCTCCACGATCGATTTCTCTCACGGCGCCAGCGGGGGAGGCGGGCGTAGGAGGGAGAGAGTTTACGGAGGCCTGGCCCCTGCCAGCCTTTCTCTCTCATTCATTCATTCAGCCTGTATTTATGTCTGTGCTGACCACCTGCCAGGCTAGATGCTGCAATAAAGTATATTGATCACTAATGGGATTTATCCTGATGTGAAGTTTTTTTGTTCCTATTTCTCTTTTTTGGGCTCTTGATGATTTTCTTAAATATTTGGCAGAGCTCTTACAGTGAAGGGGATGGTGCCATGTTTTTCCTAACATGCGGCCCCTCTTTGTTCTTACCCAGAACTTTACATTTCAATATGTTGTAATGTCAGCCTTTTTCTTTGCAGTTTCATGTCTTGTTTAAAAACTGAGAAAGTTGTCTGTTACAGTCTCGCTAATTTCATTTTTTAGCCCATTGGTCCCAGGCTATTGGGAAGGGGTGAATATATATGTTTTTCCCTTACAGACTGCTTTTCCCGGGACATTTGGCTCTGCACTCAGGCCTGTGAGGTGCAGTCAGCCAAGTCAAATGAACAAGTATTTCCCGAGCACCAAGATAAAGTGTAACATGTAGTCGCTCACCTAAATTGGACGCTAACTCTAGCATAAGAAGTCTAAAAGTGAAAGTTTTAAATAAAATGTAAATTTGAACGTAGAAGTGTTTTCACAGACTAGTGCGAAGAAATCCGTTGCTGGACGTTGCGCATAGAGGAGCTGCATTAGGAATGAAAGGGGAGAATGGCTTAGGTGGAGGGAGTCGGGAGGCCCCCTGCGTGCGAGGGGAGCTTTGAGGCAGCGCTTGCAGGAGGGGTTGGATTTCTGTGAACTGTGGGCGCGGAGGGGAGTCAGAGCGCTTGGCCCAGGGCAAGGTGGGAGCCAGAGTGCCGGCCGGCAGAGGCGGCGCTTGCTCTGCTCTGCGGGGACAGGGAAGGGGCCAGGTGTGCTGCGAACGGGCCTTTCCGGGTTGGAGACAGCGTCACCCTCACTGCAGCCTGACCTCATCCTGCACGGCGGGACAGCCTTGCACCTCTTGGTCCGAAAGCACTTTGTGAGAGCGTTGGGGAGAGGGGTTCCCCGGGAAGCCAGCCTGCACCCCGCTGCGGTCCTCAGCGGTGAATGAGGGCCAGAACCCAGCCCTGTCATGGGAATGGAAAGCAGGGTCTGGATTTCCTGTAAATCAACTGAGGCAGAATCTCCGAGGCTCCGGGAGGGGGCGGGCGTGTGCCGAATGGAAAGAAGACCCCGTGGACGCCAAGTGTCTGGCTCCGAGGAGGGGGGCACGCACTCAGTGCTCGTTCTTTAGAATGAAAAGGAGCCCAAAAGTGGAGAGGTGGAGGCAGGGAAGGTGAAAGCTCAAGGGGGCGTGTAGGTATTAGATGGAAGGACCAGGACGTGTGCTCAGTGAGGCCCAACCCTGCAGAGAAGCGAAATGGGCTGGCGAGCTCCATTTTCATTTAGCTTGTGTCCTTTTCCCTACGAATTTCTACAAACTCCATGAAAACTCCATCTTTCTCAGGTTTACCACCAGCAGAGTAGAGCGCCAAGTAGACATTTATTACATAGTCAGTGTCTAGGTGGGCGGATGGAAGAGAAAGCACACTTTGCAGAGGAAGTGTTACTTTGTAATTAGAAAAAGAATACATACTTGAAGCAAGAGGCCAAATGAGAGTTAAGACTCCCTCATTAAGGCTCCCTGTGGAAGTTTCACTTTGTTCCCCCTATAGGATAGGTGGATTGAAATTTATTTTACACCTAATGGGCCGTTCTCTTCAGACAAGAGAGAAAATTAAACCATTCTGAAACAGTGAATTTCAGTAACTTTTAAAAGCATGCATTCCTATCTCTTGATGGCTAGGGTTTTTCCCCTAAACGTCACTGTTAGAAATGCGGAGAGATAGAGACACGAGGAGCCAGATGATCAGGTCCAGGGCCTTCACTGGTGAGCTGAGTCTGGGCAGGCTGCAGCACCAGAGGGAAGCAAGAATGGGGTTTTTAAAAGAAAAAGTTTGAGGCTGCTGGAGGGAGTAAGGACGGGGTTAGTCCCCTGTTCTCCTGTTGCCTCAGGGTTTCAGGATGCGCGTCAGGGCAGGGGCTTAAGCGAAGGGCCAGGCTGTCCCCAGGTGCAGCCCCCAGCCATGGTGGCTGACCCAGATGTCTGTTGCGCAAGATGGGAGCGGACTTCGATGAAGCCACGAGCTATCGAGTGAATGGGGATAACTGAGTCCTGAGCAGTCTGGAAGGTCAGTCTGACCGGCGGCCATGGTGGCTGGCGCCAGATGTCTACTGGGCGAGATGGGAGTGTCTGCAAGCCGGCAGCTCGCAAGCCGCCGGGAGAACTGCGAGAAGAGCAGCCTAGCGGTGGGAAAAGCTGGCCTCCCCCTTTCATTCACCAAAGTAAAGCGCCTCCCGTTTGGAAAATAAGCCTAGACTAAGGTTTTAAAGAGTTGAAAACAACCCTTCAACCCAATAGAATTTATAGGAAGTCTAATCAGTAAGGATAAAGTCCTTTTTTTTAATTAGCATTTGGAAAAGAAATTTTTCCGAGGTCGTCTAAAAAATTACAGTGTTTCAAGAAATATCAAAATCTGTATTAGACAGTGTTCTCCAGAGAACTAGAAAGATTTATCTTAAGGCATTGGCTCGGGGGATTGTTCAGTTTAGCAGGTCCAAGCCTGCAGGCTGGAGGCCCAGGGAGGAGTTGCCGCCCCAATCCAAGGGCGAGGCGGGGCGGGGGTGGCGGGGTCCCCGCTCCTTCCCGGGAGGTCAGCCTTCGTTCTCTAAGGCCTGCAGCCGATCGGATGGGCCCCGTTCACATTATGATGGGGGGGCAATCCGCTTTACTCAAAGACTGCTGATTTCAGTGTTCATCTCAAGTAAAACAGAATCCCTTCACAGAAACATCCAGAATGTTCAACCAAGTGTCTGGGCGCGGTGGCCCAGACAAGCCGACACGTAAAGTTAACCATGACGAGGCAGCCCCCGTCCATGTGGCCCCCGCATCCATCTCCCTGCAGCGTGCTCGCTCTAGAAGGAAAGACAGCTAACGAGGCTGTGATTTCCCCAAGCACAGCGCAGCTCCCCTGAGCGCAACCGGAAGTGCGGTAACCCCTCCCCAGACGAGGGAGCGGAGTCCTCGGGTGGTGCTTACTCTGCTCCCGATATCCCCTTACTTAAATGCTATGCTGTCAAGTCAGCAGTACTTCAGTACTGCAATACGAAGTCAGTATAACTTGTGTGACACAATAAGGGGGTCGGGGGGAAAGAGCAAAGATATTTGGATATAGACAAAGATACATTGATAACAAAATCAGTTATGATCAGTTTTGTCATGGTCTGGCTGGTGTTTATAACTCCCTTTTTCTGCTACCCCTTCCGATCCCTTCGCCTCCAGCGAGCACCTCAGATGGTCATGGTGCTTTCCCTGCTGGGTGACTCGGCCCCTCTCCTGGAAGGGTCTGGGCCAGTGCTGTCCTGCCTGGATTGGGTTGCTGTAGTTCCCGTTGACCGGACCCGCAGGGCACGTTGGTGCTAAGAAACACCCTCGGGGATGTCCTGTACCCCAGCCACCCCCCTCCTCGCCGCCGCTGTGGAACCGCCCAGCTTCCCTTGGGGATCAGGAGCGGTCACAGCAGCCAGCGCAGCGTCCCCTCCTTTGTTGATTCAGGAGCACAAGGAGCCCAAAGTGGCCGGGTGACAGTCTCAGCTTCCAGTCCAGTTGAATCATTGTTAAAGTTCATCCTCTAAATAGGCATTTAAGTGAGGACAATTTTATTCTAAAGTGCATATATTCTACAATTCACCTGTGATAAGATAAAATAGGTACTAGGCAGAGATAGGCTGCTGGTAACATTTATCAGCAAATTAGGGAGGCAGGATTCCCTAATGCAGCGTTCCTAGATCTTGGGCAATGTATGAATTTCTTTTCATGAAAAAACAAAAAATACCAGCAGAAGTGCTAAGTGTTGACAAAGCACCTTTTATTAATTTAATTAAATATGTGCAAACATTACACCAGATATAAAACCTTTAATGCTTACTACATTTCTGTATGAAACCTAAACACTTACAAATAAAGCATAAGCAAAACGCACAAACGCAATAAAGTTGAAGTTAGCAGTGAGTGAGTGTGGTGGATGGATTTTGCCGGAACTAACTTGCTGCGGGGCATAGGGATGGCGCTGTTGGCTGTGCCCCGCGGTGGCCCTGCTCTCTGCCACTTATTTAAAGTGTCAAACACACCTCTGTGCTTTTCTCATCAGCCCATGACAATGGAAGCTGTACACTTTTGGGAACATGCTTTGTCCCATAGTTTCATGGTGTTAAAGTCTCACATGAGCAAATAGTTTAGGCTTAATGATGTGAAAATGTCTGGTCTGTAACTGATCACTGCAGAAGAGAAGTTTTACTTTTTAGCCACCAAAATCAAAAGGAGGACACGTCCAGATACGGGGCAGTTGTGAGTGAATGTTGTCATCTTAGCGTCAGGACACGCCCGCCGGGGTTAACCCGACAGGAACCCACTCAAATAAGTACTTTGGTAGCTGATACTGCTCGGTGTTGGATGCCAAAAGTCATCGCAGAACAAAATGGAGCGCTAAAATCTCATGTCAACACTTAACTGCTAAAGCGCCGCCCAGATAATTCTGCAGATACTTGTTTTTTCAATTTTCAAGTGCAAAAGTTTCTGTGGTAGTCTCCCAAGAATGCGCCTGCAGGCCTTCAGAGGCCTAAGGTGAGAAACACAAGTGAAAAAAATACTACCCCTTGAAGATCTGGGTAAGAGTTTCTCAGTTGTTGTGAGGACTTAGGCAAATCACTTAACCTCCCCGAACATCACATTCCTGATTCGTGGCCGATGTCACCACCAAGTTTGCTGGGCTTCAGGGCCCATGCTGTTCCCTCCTCCGTCAAAGGGCTCAGCCTTCTGAGTTTCCAGAATTCTCTGTTGGGCTTTTATTTTGGTCCTTAGCCTCAGAAAGTAGGATCCTGACAAGACCGCGTAGCCTGGTGGGGGGGGTCCCGTTGCTCTCTGAGCTTATGCTGCCTATGAAGCCCTCGCTCTTTCTCATTGCAGATTCTGATTCCCAGCACAGCCACGAAGTGATGCCTCTCCTCTATCCTCTCTTTGTCTACCTCCACCTCAACCTGGTCCAGAACAGTCCGAAGAGCACAGTGGAAAGTTTTTACAGTCGCTTCCATGGAATGTTTCTGCAGAACGCTAGCCAGAAGGATGTCATTGAGCAGCTCCAGACCACTCAAACCATCCAAGACATCCTGTCCAACTTCAAGCTTCGAGCATTCCTAGATCATAAGTACGTGGTCCGTCTCCAAGAAGACAGCTACAACTACCTTATCCGCTACCTCCAAAGTGACAACAACACCGCCCTGTGCAAAGTCCTCACCTTGCATATCCATCTGGACGTGCAGCCTGCCAAGAGAACAGACTACCAGCTCTACGCCAGCGGCAGCTCCTCACGAAGCGAGGGCAACGGCTTAGAGCCCACTGACGTGCCCGCCCCGATTCTGCAGAACGAGGCTGCCCTGGAGGTCTTGCAGGAGAGCATCAAGCGCGTCAAGGACGGCCCTCCCTCCCTCACCACCATCTGTTTCTATGCCTTCTATAACACAGAGCAGCTGTTGAACACTGCAGAAATCTCCCCCGACAGCAAGCTGCTTGCTGCTGGGTTTGACAACTCCTGCATAAAACTATGGAGTTTACGATCCAAGAAGTTAAAATCAGAACCCCATCAAGTAGACGTGTCCCGCATCCACTTGGCTTGTGATATTCTGGAAGAGGAGGTATGAATACCCTTTTTTCTCCCCTTACACCTGCCCTATTAATTTGCTTAGAATATTCCTTCTGAACTTGACTGACCTGGTGGAGAATGGACTTCTTTATGTCCTTCATCCTGTAGCTAATGCCAGGCTAATGCCACGTGACCCGTAGCCATTGAATTCCTGCTCATGCCCAGCCTCGGAAAAGGTGAAAACTAGTGTTAGCAACATTAACTGAACGTTACTAATGAATGGTCAGAGTCGATTATTATCTGAAATGTGCATAGCATTGCTCAGGCTAATTGAAGGCCTTTAGCTAATATTGAGAGATTTACAGTTAGCGCATGGGCGCATGCGTTTGTGCAAATGTAAACAATGACAAGTAAATGCCTGTTCAATTGCCGTGAACGGAGCGCCACTCTCCAGTTTCATCCATGGTGAAGGAGACCCCAGCTTCTGTGCTCCCAGCACCCCCAGGGGCTGCCCCTTTGCGAGGCAGTGTGCGCCCTCTGGCTTCATGGGCCCAGGCTGTTCCAAACCCCGCTCTGAAAAGTGCACAGAAAGTATAGGTGACGTTTCACCCATCAGTCAGTATACTGGTCCCGTTCGCTTTGTGTGGGGGCGGTCGTTGAAAGGGCCAGGCCGGGCGGCCTGAGTTTCGGGTCTCAGGGAATTGCTGCCTTAGAGAACATGTGGGTGCAGGGACATAGCAGTTGAACTTCACAGAGTTCGCTGTCCCTGAGAGTGGCCCACACACGCTGAGGGCCCGAATGTTATTTTGGTCACAGTTCACGTAGCTGTGCCTCACTCATTTTGGATGGAAAATTCTTTGCACGGGATTGAAAAACGAAGGATTTTTCGTTTGTTAAATCATTTGAGTTAATTTGCAGTTGCTGATAGGATATTAAGAATATTGGATGCACAAATTAAACTCTTTTTCCAATTCCTGTTCTCTTTGTCACCTTCCAATTAGTAGTAATATCCTTTGCAATTTTGTTTATTACAACTGAGACAGTATAATTAGAAGAGTTTGTTAAGAGGCATAAGGAGTCCAAATTTCAATATACGAACTTTGATTTCTAGGATTTTATAGTACCCTTAAAATACCTTTTTTTTAGTGGCATCCGTATCGAATTATCAGATTTCTCTTTTCCTTGGAGACAGTTCTAGCCTCTGGGGGCTCTTCACATGCAACTGAGGAATACTGTCCTAATTTACTTGCATTTCTCTGTAAATACAAAAAGTATATTTCTACCCGCTTATTAGTTTTGATGATACTGAATTAGGGAACATTTGAGGCATTAAAGATTTATAGAAAAGAAGATAGCAAAGATAGATACAAAGATGGAAAGAGCATTAGCCTAAAATAAGAAATTGTACGGTTCTCCGCTGGTTCTGTGACTTGTTCTGTGAAGGTTTCCAGTCATCAAAAGGCATGTATGTGGTGACCCAGAAGTGAAGAACACGATGAATTCCAGGAACAAAACAAATTAACGGCGGCTGGAGTAGGGAGGGGTAGAGCAGGAAGCAACGCGGTGCCGCGCTCCACGCGGGAGGTGATGGCGGCCCGAACGAGGGCAGCGACAGCGGGCAGGTTAGGCGAGAGCTCAGTCCCCGGGCCCACGGAGGGGCAGCAGGGAAGGAAGGGTCGAGGACGACGGCCGTGTCTCAGGCTTGATCTGCTGAGTGTGTTGGGGGCAGGGGGGTGGCCACAAAGGACATCAGAGAAGCAGTTAGTTGTTAAGTATCTTTCTGGTTTATTCATCATTATCCATATTGAAAGTGGTGAAGATTCTAGCCTCCTCTCTCCTTGAGAACAAATTTTATTTTAAACTTTAGAACCACAGCTGAGACCTTCCTATTCTGGTCCTGAGGAGCTTCCTGTTCGTGACTCCCACACCCCCGCCTGCCCGTTGTGTCACAGCAGTTTGGGGAAGTTTTCTCTCTGGCTTCTGTCGAGAAGTATTTCGTGGCAAAGCAAGGGATAAATTAGTTCTGGTAGTTGGTTTTTAATGTTTCTTCCATGAGAATTGGGACTTCATTTTTTCCTTGAAGAATTCACCATTAAAATCAGACCCTTCCTTTAAAGGCCAGGAACTCGCATACCCGCGGAGGCCAGGCAGGTAAAAGTAAATGGCAAAGCCGCCGGGACCGAAGACGGTAGGAACTAAGAGAGCCCCGTGCGAACCACGTTAGAAAGCCGGTTTGGTTTGCAGCCTCTGCTCTAATCTTTGGGAGGTACTAACTGTTGCACAAATTAGCGGACAAAAGATCTTAACAGTAGGCATTTAAAACAGTGATTAGAGCCAGGAGTTCCATCTCTAGGTATATAACCAGGAGAATTGAAACCGTATGTCCGCACAAAAACTTGTACACAAATGTTCGTGGAGACGTTATTCGTAACAGCCAAAAAATGGAAACAACCCAAATGCCCATCAGCTATTAATGGGTAAACAAATTGATATGCCCATACGATGGAATATTATTGAGCTATGAACAGGAATGAAGATCCATGATATATCATATGCCATAATGTGGATGAACCTTGTAAGCATTATGCTAGGAAAAGAAGCCAATCACAAAGGACCCCATATTGTGTGGTTCCATTTATAGGGAATATCCAGAACAGGCACATCCATAGACAGAGAGAGTAGATCGGGGCTGAGGAAGTGACGGCTCGTGGGTGCAAGGCCTCCTTGGAGGTGGGGAAAGTGTTCTGTGCCCAGAGGGCGGCAGTAGTTGCACAGTTCTCTGAAAACACCGGAAACCCCTGAACTGTACACTTTAAAAGATTGAATTTAATACTATTTGGATTGTATCTCCCTTTTTTTAAAGAATCGAAGAGAAATCAAAAGGTCTATGTAAGCACAAAAAAAAACCTGTTAATTTTGCCAAATAAAACTGGGTTTACAGCTCTGCCCTACAGCTCCTGCTGTGTCCAACCTGAAGATAGTCTAGATTAACCTTTGAAAATCCGTGAGGTGGCAGAGCAGTGCCCCCCGCGGGCCAGGAGCCCCTTCTGCAGACGCTCAGAGGGGGAGAACGAGGCCTGCGCTCCCAGCCTTTACACGAAACGGGGGAAGGAACGAGATCCAGCTTTTCTCACCGTTGACTGGGAGCTGCGTGTTCCTAATGTGTGAGCAACGTGGCAAAACCACAGGGGCTGGCTCTCCTTTCCAGTCCTTTGTACACGACCTGCCGCACCACTGCCCGCCCCCCGCCCCCTCAGCCTAACGACACAACCCCTGTGTGTAACGTCGCACTGTTGTTCCCCCAGTCTGCTAATCTTCAAGTCTGAGAAATAAAGAACTCCGTGTTGTCAGTCATACTCAGTTCTCTAATTTTCATATAAAACTGTCTCTTAGATCTATGTTGGCCAGTGAGGTTACACTGCGAGCCATATATGTAATTTAAAATTTTTAGTAGCCACATAAAAAGAGTAAAAGGAAATAGTCAAAATTAATTTTAATAATGTATTTTATTTAATCCAGTATGGCAAAAATACTATCATTTAACACATAAGCAGTATGAAAAATTATTCACAAAACCTGGCACTTTCTCCTTCTTTGCCCTAAGCCTTGGAAATCTGGTGTGTAGTTCACATGTAGAGCGCACGCCCATCCACGCCAGCCAGCCGTGGCCACCGCGTCTGACCAAGTTCAGGCTGCTGTTGTCTCCCACACAGATGCGGCACCTCGCTTGCTTCCAAGTCTCAGCCCACGCCCAGGCCCCACCGCATCTCATTTCCTTCAGGCCCACTGGCCCCTAATTGGAGAACAGCCCAAGGCTAAACCCCAGACCCTCCCACGCCCCAGCCACGTACTCCTGGTCTGGGGGAGGCTGGGGACTAAGGCGCCTGGACCGCGCTCGCCCAGGAGGAGACACACATCACTAGTCTGAGATTTTAGGGACCACGTGGTTTAGAGCTAGGGTCTGCGACCGATGGCACAGGGGCACCTCAAACAGTATTCGAAGATTTGTTTACTTCTCTGTCTTTTCTACTTTATGCATGTTTTATAAGGCACATTATACAGTTTATTATTACACGAACACACTTTACACATCAAAAATTCCCATTTGGGATGCACGCCCATTTCCTGGGAAGGGCTCGGCCAGGTGCAGGCGTTTCGGGGCGTAGCGCCGGTTAGATGAGAGGAAGGGGAGAGAGAATCTGTGGGGCTGGGCACGTGTGAACCGGCACTGGCTCAGGGCTTCATCTTGACTGAGCCGAGGGAGGCCCTCATGGGGCTGAGTTGAGCCGCAGGAGAAAACAGAGCTGGTTATTTCGAGCTGCGGTCCTGGCAAAGAGCTGATGCCAACAGGAACGTTCTGGTTTCCCCATTTCTTGGTCTGTAGAGTCAGCCGGGCATCTTTCCATGGACTGGTGACAACAATCAGCAAGACCCTTGGGGGCCCAGGTCGGGGGGCTCAGTGGGTGGCAGGTTGGAGCGTCGTCCCGATGTACCAGGGTTGCCAGTTCAGTCCCCAGTCAGGGCCCATACAGGACTCACCCAGCGAATGCATACATAGGTGAAACAACTACTCGATATTTCTCTCTCTCAAATCAATAAGTAATTTTATTTAATTCCTTCTTTAAAAAAAGACCCTTGGGAAGGGCCAGCTTGCCTCCTTTCCTGGTGCCCTCTCCCCATCCCTGAGCACGCCATTTAGGTCCCCACTAACGGCTGCCGGTCACTTCCATAACCTGCTCCAAACAAAGACCGTGTACGCCTCAGAGATAGTAATGTGCCCTTTGCTCCACTGTAACCTTTCAAAGGACCTTTGTGTAATCCTCACAGGGTCGTTCTTTGCTCCCACAGGTCTTAATAAACTTTCTGGTGTAGAGCAATGAGTCATTCTTGAGATTTTAAAGTGTTGTTGTAACCTCTTTGGAAGGGAAAATTACTAATATTCTTGGTAACACTCAGTAGAGCCTTCAGCTCCCAAATGCTTATGTATTTTTAATGTCGAGTGTCTGGAATAACCATTTTGAATATTCATGGACATCCATGTTTATTTCTCTTAACTTTCTCTCAAATACATACACATTGGAGCTGTTTGTTTTGTTCTGGATTTAAAAGTTTTAAAATAGAAGTTAAAAGGATGCCATTTTCCTAGACGAGAATCTAAAGCTCACAAAGATAGTTGTTTCTGAGCCAACAAAGCCAGTTGATTTAAGACTCTTCATCTTACTCCTCGTTCTTCCAGTGTTTGATGAAAGCCCGTTTTAGCTGATGAGTCCCAGGACAGAGGCGGCCGCAGTCTTAGGGAGCAGGCCTGTGAGAGGGTAAAGGGAGGATGGGCTTGGAACACAGACTGTGCTTGCAGGAAAGAGGGTGACGAAGGGGACTTTCAGCCCCAGTGCCACGGGCAGCTGTCTCTTCTTCTGTCCCCACACACAGGAATCATTTCTAAGACTCCCATGAGTCACTTGGCTTTCAAGCAACTCTGAATCCAGCCTTGTTTTTTAACGTCGGGGAAATGTGTGAGACCCTCCAGAAAGTCATGGTTTTCGAACTTCATCTTTATTTCTTTTTTGGACACCGCCAGCTTATGCCTGGCCACAGGGTGGGAGCGTAATTTACTGATTACTATTCTGGTCATGTCCAGGCGGTATCTCGGCTAAACGCCTACAGTGGTCCTGTGTTAATCATGAGCTACGACCATGTCGGCCTTCACCCTCTTCACCCCTGAGCCCAAGCTCGGGAGCAGTCAGCATGTCCGATCGGTCTTCGCAGGCTGGAAATGGGGAGCAGCGTGGCTTATAAAGCAGCTGAACCTGACCAGTCTGTAGAATCAAAGAATCTAAGAACTGAACAGAAATGCAGGAGTAAATCTTTTCAAGCGGCAGATACCAGGATTAACAACGAAAATTACTGTGGGATGGCTGCCTTTTAACCAGCTTTTGAAACCTGTAATTCTCGACCTAGGAGTAAGATCCGCAGTCATTACTGTATCTTTTGATTTGATACATTCTTGGCTGCAGAATGGAGTTAAGGAAGTCAGTGTGTAAGCTGTAAGGGACGTTTTCCCCCCAGTCCCACAGTTAGGGGCTGTTGGTCTCCTGGCGTCACCCTTGGGGCAGGACCGCTGTCATTTACTGGGTAGTGCTATTTCCCAAGCAGCGTCACCCCGCCCCCCAGAGGTTCTGTCTTCCTTGCAGGCCACTAACCATGTTCTTTCTCTGTCTTTTTTGCGCCCCCACCCGTCGGCCCCAGGATGACGAGGATGACGCTGCGGGCACAGAGATGAAGATCCTGCGGGGACACTGTGGACCAGTGTACAGCACCAGGTTCCTCGCAGACAGCTCAGGGTTGCTCTCTTGTTCCGAAGACATGTCCATCAGGTACTGGGACCTCGGGACTTTCACCAACACTGTGTTGTACCAAGGACATGCCTACCCCGTGTGGGACTTGGACATTAGCCCATACAGCCTGTATTTCGCCAGCGGGTCCCATGACCGCACCGCAAGGCTGTGGTCATTTGATCGGACGTACCCGCTGAGAATATATGCAGGACACCTGGCAGATGTGGACTGTGTCAAATTCCACCCTAATTCAAACTACTTAGCTACAGGCTCAACCGACAAGACCGTCCGGCTGTGGAGCGCTCAGCAGGGGAACTCGGTGAGGCTCTTCACAGGCCACCGCGGCCCTGTGCTTTCTCTCGCCTTTTCACCCAACGGTAAGTACTTGGCATCGGCCGGTGAGGACCAGCGGCTGAAGCTCTGGGACTTGGCCTCTGGGACCCTTTACAAAGAACTGAGAGGCCACACGGACAACATCACCAGCCTCACCTTCAGTCCGGACAGCAGCCTGATCGCCTCCGCGTCCATGGACAACTCGGTGCGCGTCTGGGACATCAGGAACGCCCACTGCGGCGCGGCAGCCGACGGCTCCTCGGGCGAGCTCGTGGGCGTGTACACCGGGCAGATGAGCAACGTGCTGAGCGTGCAGTTCATGGCCTGCAACCTTCTGCTAGTGACTGGAATCACGCAAGAAAATCAGGAACATTGATTTGTTTTACCTTCGTTGTGACGGACTGGGGCAGCCGTGGGGCAGAGGCCTCCAGATCTCAAGTCTTACTTACCATTGAATCACTGAGTGACTGTGAAAGACCCCCCGCTTCCTCCTCCTCCTGTGCAGGCTCCCTGAGCACGTCGCCCCGTCCCTCGGCCCCCCAGCGTCAGAGGACAGGGGGGCGAGGACAGAGGGTGATGCGTGGACCTGAGCTCAAGAACGGAGATGCTCCGGAGGTCAGATGGCAGGTTCTTACAAAGACGCCACCGTGTCCTCACGCGAGCACCTCCGTGTCTGTCTCGTTTCCCGCTTTGTGAAACCGCCACGCTGCTGCCGCGGCCGGTGCGGGGGGGTGGTCCCAGGACGGTCGCCGCGGGCTCTCGGGGGGGCGCGGTGCAGCAGGCTCACGTGTGGGCCGTCGCCGGGCAGAAGGGGACCCCCACTGGTGCAGGGGCGCAGAGGTGGGGACAAGGAAAGGGGGCCAGGATCGCCCTGGAAAAAGTCTTTCCCGTAATTACAGAGAACAGGATTTTTTTTTATTATTGTTATTATAATTATAGTAATTATTATTATTATTGAGAAGAGGAAACCTAGCACTGGCAGAGCGGTCTTCTCTGCTCCCATCTTTCAGGTTTGGCTCCTGGACACTGGCTCTGATACTTGGAATTTTTGAGGTTCAGGGAATTCAGAGGATTTCGTAGCACAGTGTATTGTGAGAAAGGGACAGTTTCTGGGGGACGGCTTGGTCACTCCCGCTGACGTGTTTCTAGCTGTAGGTGGGCAAACTGATCGAGAAAGTCTTGGGCCCTTGCAGTGACGGGGGGAAAGAAAGATCCCCTTCGTGGCCACACTTCTGTGAACAGTTCTCCCTGAAAGGCCATATTGTCATAAAGAAATTAAAATAATTGGAGGCGATAGGTCAAAAGACAGAATGAGCAAACGTCGAACTTCCAAATGAGCATTTACTCCGCGGTGCGGCTCCGTGAGTCTCTGTCTCCTTGCGCTCGCCTGCTCCCACCTCCTGCAGCAGCAGATTAACCAGCCCTCCGTGAAACAGACCGTGCGGACGAATGAACGCCTACAGAACTTTGAGGATGAAGCAAGCTCTAATTTGTGGGAAAAGGATTAAATATTTCTGTTATTTTGTATTTTGTTTTCTATTAAAACGTATTTAGTTTCCAAAAAAAAAAAAAAAGGTGTTGGCATCTCATTTACACGGTGAGGAGAGCGGGGGTGTGTGGCCTGTCGTGCAGTGCCTCTCCTGGGCAGCAGCGGGGGACGTAGGTCGGACCAGCCCCGAAGGAGGCGCGCTCTTCCCTGCTTCTGCAGTCCGCTCAGCGGGCTTTGAATTGTGATCCCCTTGGCATCCAGGTGGATTGTTAATAGCATTTAACGCTGTGTATACATCCGAGATTGCCGGTTGCTGACCGGAGACGACATATCTTTTGCCATCTGGAGTTATTTGATAAGATTCCACTGCCAGTTTTCTTTAAAGGCCACGTTATAAAATCGCCAAGGGGCATAAGAACTGTGATATTTAATTCAGATTATTTATTGAACAATTCCAGATAATGGACTCATTCAAAGATTTAAATGATGCCAGAATTTTTAAAATGTACTTAAATATGTAATATTCTGCAAGGACACCAGAATTATCAGAAAATTAAATAGGAAGACTCTAGGATTTTGTGCCAAAAAACTTTTTTACTTGAGCCTAAGGTGCTAAATAATAGGAAATGTTTCTTATAGATAAAAACATGTATTTGAGGCATTGTAAGAAGGATCCCGTGGCAGCTTAGCCAGACAGAGTCACCTTCCACATGGTCTACAGAAAAAGCCTAGAATTAAAATTTATTCTTAGCTCTAAGAAGTGGATTCTTAATTAGGTTGTATGGTGTATTGCTAGAAATAATGAAATTTATGGATTGGACTGAATCATTCTCAGAAGTGGAGATATCACTGATCTGGAAGGTTTTGTGTTTGTCTTAATGCAGAATTTCTTTGATTAAACACAAATGTAATAGATTGGTCAGTCTTCACATTCTCGATCATGTATATACTTTGTGAAATCAGGTGAAGCGCTTAATGATCTGTGTATTCGGCCTTTTTTTTCCTTCTTTTGTGAGCTCATTTTAATGTGAGGTCATTGAACTTTATAGAATGCCTGTCACAGCTTCCCCGGAATGTTAGGAGGTGCTGTAAGGGACATGAGCGTGCGACGGTGTCCCCAGGACGCGCAGAGGCTGTGGCACGCCCTCTGCACACGCGCTCGCGCGCTTCGTCTTCAGAGCGACCCAGTGCTGCAGACGGGACTGGCGATGCAACCGTTTTGTATTTGAAATACCTAAAGCTGAGAAAGCTATATTATTTATTTTTGGAATAAAGAAACTTTAGAATATTCAGTTATTTTGAACCACAGTGATAAATCTCTGCAGTGTGTATAATAAGGTGGGAGGGGAAAGAGCTGACATTTCTTAGACTGTCAGGCTCAGAAAATCTGACTGTAACTTTCATTTAGCAGTAGACTGGTCAAAGGAAAGGAAGAAAATTAGGATCAAGGAAAGTAATGAACAAAACAGGAAGCAATTTAACGTTTTTAAATTCAAGGTCCAGCTTCTAAGGATATGATTACTAGCTCTTCATTTGTTTTATTTGTGTATTAAAGATGTCTTGGTTGTATAAAAAATATTTGAGTATGTAGGCTTCTCATTTTGCTATTGCCCAGATTGGTATTTAAGTATATGGATTAAAAACTTAGTCTGTACTTCAACTTGGCTTTCAGTTGCATGTTTTAGAAAAGTGTCCATTAACTCTGTGCTCAGCCCACACCAAAAATTCATATTATCAACACCTACATAGCGGCCAGATGACTCTGAAACTGCCTTGTGGTAAACAAAATCTTCATCATAGAATTTAAGGAATCCAAATGTTCCTTGTCAACTTGATCTATTAAAAGACAACCTTGATACGTCCATATGATTCTCTGGAATGCCTAAGAAGAAGTATTTTTATCTTAAAAACATGACTATCATACCCTCGCACGTTGTGTTAGTGGATGGAAATATAGTGGTAAGCAAAGCCGACAACAGTCCGTGGACTGAGTTTATAGTTCAGAGACGGAGGGAGATGTTAATCAAATGATACCGTGATTATAGAATTTCAACCACCTGTGAGCGTGCTGTGCTGGATGCTATGGAAGAATATATCCAGGGATCTAATTTGGATTAAGCATTCAAAGGCCTCCCCGAAGAAATAAGAGTGAAGCTGAGACCTGGAGGGCGAATAGGGTTAGCCAGGCGGAGTTCGGGAAGGAATGGTCCAGACCCCAACAGGGGAAGACCCTGCACACTCAGGGAAGTCCCGTGGGGCTGAGCAGTGTGAGTAAGGAACAGGGCAGGTGACGGGCACTTGGGAAATTGGCCAGGCTCAGGGCGCTGTCCAGACGGGATGGAAGCCATTGCAGGGGGTAGAATAGGGAAGGACGCAGCCCGATTCCCACCACAGGACGGGATGTCGCCACAGGACGACGTAGACTCCACACCTAGGACTGGAATTCAGCATCCGAATAGCTCAGCAATAGCCACTGAACCCAGTCTGTGCCAGGCAGGGCAGGGCACAGCTGGTGATGGAAGCCCGCTGCCATGTGCTGAGCTGCCCAGTGGACGCTTCATCCCCTGGGGCCATGGCCTGAAAGTGGCCTCCAACCAACAGGCCTCCCTGAGTCCTGCCAGCCACCGCACGAATGAGCCCGGGTGCACCTGCCCCAGCCAGGCCTTCAGGCACGACCACGGCCCCGCTGGCGTCTCGATGGCGGCGCCCTGCTCGACATGAGACACAGGCGTCTAGTGCAGCCTGCCCAGATTCCCAACTCACAGAAACTGGGAGACATTAAATGTTGTTTAAAGTCATTAAAGTTTGGAGTTCTTCCTTGTATAGCAATAGATAATTAGCCCATCTGTCCCACTTCATAGATTATTCTTTTAACTGCCACATTATAGAAAATGAAATAATGATTGATTTTTTAAAAATATTTATTTTTACAGAGGAGGAAGGGAGGGAGAAAGAGAGGGAGAGAAACATCGATGTAAGAGAGCAACATCAATCAGTTGCCCCTTGTACACCCCCAACTAGGGAACCAGCCCGCAGCCCAGGCATGTGCCCCAACCGGGAACCAGCAACCTTTCGGGTCACAGGCCGGCACCCGATCCACGGAGCCACACCAGCCAGGGCTGGTTTTGTTTTTTTTTAAATCACTGGCAGCTGTGAGAAGCCGATGAAAGGTGTGTGAGTGAGAATGAGGAGACCAGTTAGGACACCGCAGCTGCCCAGGGGAGAGACAAGGGTGGCATGGGCTAGACTGGCCACAGTGGAACTGAAGTGGACAGGTCGATGACTATTTTAGAAGGGGATCGGGCTGGACTTCATATTGGGCTGGGTGGGGAGAAAGGGAATCATGGCTGACCTATGTGTTTCTGGCATGAACAGTGCAGTGGGTCGGTTGCCATTTATTGTGATGACAATACTAGAGGAAGAAGCGGTTTGGGTGGAAGGTCAAGAGTTCAGCATTGGACCTCTTAACTTCGAGGAGCTTTAGGAAAACCAACTTGGATGGGCGTTTGGAGAGACACTCCTGCAGCTCAGAAGAGGGGTCAGGGCTGACGTGCTCCTTTGGGAGCTGTGTTCATTAGCGCGCTTCATGCCACCAGGGACAGAAATCTGACTCCAAGTGGTTTTAAAAATGAGCACTCGGTGGTTCATGTAACAAAGCAGAGGTCAGGTGGGTTTCATGCGTGACTCACCAAGGGTCTCCTCTCAGTTCTGCGCTTCCACTCTGCCCCACCATGTGATTGGGTTTACCACAGGCGGTGTTTCCCATGGCTGCGGGGGGGACTACGGATAGCAACGAGGGCCAGACACCCCTCATTCACCTCTAGGGGGCGTGTGAGCTTCCTTTCTATTCCTCTCACTTAAGGGTAAGGGGGGAAAGCCTAGAAGCGCCATCAGACCTCTCCAGCTTGGATTAGTCCTGGCAATCACCACACATCCTGACAAGGGCGAGAGGAAGTGGCATGAAGTTGGAATTGGAAACCTTGCGGATAGAGGCGATCACCAAGGATTAGAACATGGGGCGGGGGAGAAGATACCTTGAGGTGCTCTAGCATTTACAGGCCAGAGAAGAGGCGCAGCCAGACAACAAAGAGAAAAAATGAGAGGGCACCATCCCAGGAACCAAGAGGATGAAGTACTTCAGAATGGGAGTGGTCTGCTGTGTTGATGTACTGAGAATTCAAGTCAGGTAAGGGCTAGAGGATGTCCCTTAGGTTTAGCGGGGAGGTGGCCGGCAACCTTAGGACAGGCCCTTACGCTTGAGTGATGGAAATGGAAAATGCACTGAATGGGCTGAAAAATGGAAAGGCAAATAAATGTGGACACTTCATTTACAACAGGTGACACGCAGAGTAACGGAGGGAGGACAGACCTTTACTGCAGTGCTAAGACAACTGGCTATCCGGAAGGAAAGAGTGGCATTGGGCCCCTACCTCGCCAGACACAAAAGTAAATTTCAGGTAAATTAAAGTCCTCAGTGTGAAAGGCAGATGTATAAACCATTCAAAAGACTATCCTCGTGACCTTGGGACTGGAAGACATGCCTAAAAGAAACAGAAAGCCCTAATCAAAAGAGATTAAATTCAAAAACATCCATTCATCAGAAGAACCACAAAAAGAAGTCCTGGGCAGGCCATGGATGTGAGAAGACAGATGCAATGCCTGAGCGACAGGAACGTCTGGAGCAGCCCTGAGCATTGGCATCGGCCATGCAGTGCGATGTCTGCCGGTCTGTCTCGTCCGGTAGACAGGGCCGTGAGCACGAACGCGCTCCGTAGTTCCCTGCTGCCCAGGGAGGTAGCTGCCAGCCCCGTGGGGCTACTGAGCGTTCAAAATACGGATGATGTACTGGAGGAATTGAATTGTTTAAATTTTGTTCATTAAAATTTAACCACGTGAGCCCTGGCTGGTGTGGCTCAGTGGATTGAGCGGCGGCCTATGAACCGAAGGGTTGCTGGTTCGATTCCCAGTCAGGGCACATGCCTGAGTTGCAGGCCAGACCCCCAGCAGGGGGGCACGCGAGAGGCAACCACACATT